TTCAACGGGACCATTTTCTCTTATTCAACAATCCCCCAAATTTAGATTTTTTATTCAACGCCTTATTCAAATGTGACAACTTTGGCTCAACATCCTTATTCAACGGGAATTTCATGTTATTCCTTTACCCCCGCAAGGACATGAGGTTGTTACGGTTCGCCGCATTTTTCAACCCTGGAAGTTTTGGTGCATTCAAAACCATGCTTTGGCAAAATGAACCAAAATTATATGATTTTTTTTTTGCAAAGGTGGATAACCAGGCTCAAATATCATATCTTCAAAAAAAGAGTAATAAGGAGGTAGTAATTAGTAATATTAGACACTATTAAGCACTATTTGAAGACATTTGTAACTATATATATATATATATAGATACATATATATTGTATATCTGTATATACATATGAAACACCAAGACACCTGACTAGGGCTGGTGGCAGAACAAGAGTTGGGATCTCCCACATAAAGTGTTAAAGGTTAGTATTAGGCACTATTCAGCACGATTACTCTATCTCTCTCAATATTTACATATACATACATACATGCATGCATACATGTATGTATACATATATATGTATATATACATACATGTTCAGTTCCATGACACCTGCAAATGACTGGATGTGGCGCCAGCATTGTGGACCTTCTATGTAAAGTCTCAGGGGATAGTATTAGGCACTATTAACAGCTATTATTCAATTTTGTTTCAGTTGTGAAAATTTGGCTCAACATCCTTATTCAACGGGAATTTCATGTTATTCCTTTACCCCCGCAAGGACATGAGGTTGTTACGGTTCGCCGCATTTTTCAACCCTGGAAGTTTTGGTGCATTCAAAACCATGCTTTGGCAAAATGAACCAAAATTATATGATTTTTTTTTTGCAAAGGTGGATAACCAGGCTCAAATATCATATCTTCAAAAAAAGAGTAATAAGGAGGTAGTAATTAGTAATATTAGACACTATTAAGCACTATTTGAAGACATTCGTAACTATATATATATATATAGATATACATATATATATATATTGTATATCTGTATATACATATGAAACACCAAGACACCTGACTAGGGCTGGTGGCAGAACAAGAGTTGGGATCTCCCACATAAAGTGTTAAACGTTAGTATTAGGCACTATTAAGCACGATTACTCTATCTCTCTCAATATATACATACATACATACATACATACATACATACATACATACATACATACATACATACATACATACATACATACATACATACATAACATACATACATACATACATACATACATGTATACATATATATGTATATATACATACATGTTCAGTTCCATGACACCTGCAAATGACTGGATGTGGCGCCAGCATTGTGGACCTTCTATGTAAAGTCTCAGGGGATAGTATTAGGCACTATTAACAGCTATTATTCTTTTTGTTTCAGTTGTGAAAATTTGGATCAACATCCTTATTCAACGGGAATTTCATGTTATTCCTTTACCCCCGCAAGGACATGAGGTTGTTACGGTTCGACGCATTATTCAACCCTGGAAGTTTTGGTGCATTCAAAACCATGCTTTGGCAAAATGAACTAAAATTATATGATTTTTTTGCAAAGGTGGATAACCAGGCTCAAATATCATATCTTCAAAAAAAGAGTAATAAGGAGGTAGTAATTAGTAATATTAGACACTATTAAGCACTATTTGAAGACATTTGTAACTATATACATATATACACATGCTCAATACCAAGAGACCTGCATAGGGCTGGGGAACCAGAGTTGTGGACTTTCTATACAAGGTATCAAGGGTAATGTTAGGCACTATTAACACCTATTAGTCCTTATTTATATATATATATATATGTAGTTGCATACATGCTCAATACCAAGACTCCTGCATAGGGCTGGTTGTGGCTTCAGAATTGGAGTACCTACCGTATAAAGCGTTGAGGGGTCTTATTCTGCACTATTAAGCACTATTGAGACATCTAACAAACTAGCAAGACACCTGCATAGGGCTGGTGGTTGAACCAGAGTTGTGGACGTTCTCCTTTGTTTGCTCTGGAGGGCTCCAAAATATGGAGCATGTGTGTGGCAATAAATCGCAATTCCATTGCAAGTCGGTCCTTGCAAAGTCACACCGCGTTAGTGATATAGATAATGCTATCCCAACCTATTGGGTATCAAATGCATGGTTTTATTCAAGGCAAAAAACACATTGCAGAAAGGGTGGACGTATTTGGCCAACGAATGAATAACGCAGAATAAATTGTAATAGCACATGCTGGCCTTCAACCAACATTCAATGCCACAAGCAGTGACAATGATGCCATCTTTCTGCGTTGTTCGGTGGAGAATCCACACTGAGCAGCTTTTCTGCATTATTGTCGTTGTTGTTCAAGCAGTGTAGTTTTTTTTTACGTTTGATGCTTGAACTCCAAGCTTTGAATTTCTTGACTCTCAAGGTCAAGCTGATGGAGAATTACAACCTCTACAGCAGCACCTTGGAAACCAAGAAAAATATTGCTTGGTATAGTGAAGAATTTACATTTGTTCACAAAAATCCGTCCGTTGAAAAAAGTCCAAGGCAGACTCATCCTCAACGGCCACGAGCTATACTGCATTCTGCCTGAAGAGAACGCGCCAGAAGGGATTGAGGTTCAATGGTCCTGCAGTACAGTGCTTCACCTCATTTTCAGAACCAAGGACAAAGAGAAAGCCAGGTCAAAACATCACAAAGTACTTCCGCAAGTTCGTGCAATGTACAAAGAGGTTTGGGGGGAAGATGCCGAAATCCTGACATCCAAACACACTGCTCGCAGTAGAAGTGGGACTATGGAAGCTCAGGATAAGGAAGTTCACTTGAATATAGCTATGTTCACACCAATGGCCATGATCCCTACATCTGTTGTGATTGCATACTTCGTGTGGGGTATCAAGAGACTACGGAGAGGTCCGGAAGATGTGGCCAAGACCGCAGAGAATCTGATAGCTTTGTGGGCTTTCACATTTTCTGTCATAAGGGAAGGCTGTTGTCGGCTTGTGCGACATGATGGTGCACGTTTCAGTTTCATGATCAATCCAAGTTCTCAAGCACCATTCTTACATTGCATGTTTACTGCGGAGTTTCGACAGGAACTTGACACACAATGGAAAATGATGTTTTCAAGTCGGACACGGCCACAATGGATGAGAACGAGCGATGTGAACTGTGCATCTGTCATCGAAGTGCTTCTGTTTCTACTGTGGCCTACTCATGGGAAGGCCTTCAACCACATCCAACCATTAGCTTTCTCGGTCCTTCAGCAGTTTTCCAAAATGGTGGACAGAATGGGAAAGGCGACCAAACAAGACCTTCTTGGGGAGAACATCAAATACAAGAACAAGCAAATGTTTTCAGAGTCGCTGGAACGGAGAAAACAAAACTGTGCTGATTTTCTATTCACTGAAAATGAACCTTGGCTGAAATAAACTACTTGAATATGTGTGTGTGTTTACACATCCATATTTATATATATACTATAGCAAGTAGAGACTATTAGGCACTAATAGTGCTTATTTGAGCCTTGGTAGTGTTCCGACAAGATGAATAGTACAGGTTTTGTAACCACCTGCTGCTCACCATAAGGACGACAACGGGATGACATTACGAAAAGCCTTGGACAAGTTCAACTTGCAGAAGACTTCGGTGAGTAGTTTCTCCTACTCTTTGGCTGTTTGGGCCTCAATATCTGAAACAATCCCTTCTTCTCCACATCCACAAGGGACTTGATCACATTGCGAAACCGTTCTGATGTATTTGACATTTGGATGAAGGGGTTCGAGTTTTAGCATCACAAATTCTGGGCTGGGATTTGTGTGATATATTATTGCAACTTCTCTGAAGTTCCGAATAGAGATTTGCCACAAATGCCACAAAGGTCGTATACATGGCAAGGGCCATGGCAGAAGCAAAGCAGTGCTCAGTTTGGCATGTGCCTTGACTGAATTACAAGTATCAGAGCCCAACAGACCTTATTAAGTGCTAATAAGCACTATTCAAAATATTACTTTTCAAACTTTGCCTGATGCTTTAGATTCTCATGCTTCTGCAGTTTGGCATATGGTTTTGCTTCAAACAGGTCTCATGTGCAAACACTTATTTAAAATTTCTAGCCTTTTATTTTGCAGGTGTATGCTGACGGCTCGAGTGTCGCAAAGCGACCAACTGAAGTATCCTACATCTGGTTACCAGAGCTGGGAAAAGGCTTCTACGGCCCTCCGGTAGCAGGGGAGCCCAGAAGACTCTGCTCCTAGCCCCTGAACTTGGTCTTGGAACAACAAAGCCTGTTTCTGTAAGGTATCGGCTCATATCAGAAACAGTGCAGCTTGAACCAACAATTGTGGAATATCAAGACGACTCAGAATGGCATATTCTCTGTATTTACTATACAAGATGACAAACTGGTTTGATCGCCTTTGAGCCGTCCTCATTGTGGCAGCCATGGAGGGCTCGCTTGCAGATATCTCAATGGAATCTGATACAGCTAGCGGTGGGGCTCCATGGAATAGCTGGAACTCAGCATCAAGTAGGTGCAGCTCTGAGCCGTTTCAGGACTGAACTCATATGTTTCCATATTTCCATGTTTAGGGAAGAGATCCTTGTGTATTCTGCACTATTAAGGCCTAATTACAGCCCCTGGGTGTACATTACATACGCATGTAACATATTCTGATTGATTTTCTGGTATATTATCAAGGGAATAAAAAACCTTTGAGGATGTCCAAAGTGATGACACTATGCTGGCGAAAAGTGGTCGAGTGGTACAACTCGCGTGGCGAAAAATGTGCAATGTCTTGGATCATGCGAAGCTCCAGGCCAGGTACCCATTCAAAATTGAAAAGCTTGATGCTTAATAAAGCCAATTAGGACTTATTTGCAAGCACATGGTGCTTTGTAATGGGGCCTGCTTCTGTGCGAAAGGAAACAATCTTAATAATAAGTTTCGGCCTGCTTCGCTGGGAGGCATCAATGCTGTTTACAACCAGGCTGGTAAGCAGTTGCTGCAGTGGAGCCCTCACATCTGACATGGCACTGTCCATTGTTGAAAAAACCGTGAACGACTCTGGCGTATTTGACTCCAAAGTGGCGTTCAATATCGTGTCTGTGCACGCCGCTTCTTTTATGTTTGGCTTTGGTTCCCCATCCAAACAAGTTTTTTTTCTATGTTTAGTATTGATATGAACTCACCTCTAATATGAAGGGGGGGAAACATGCAACGCAAACAGTCATGAGGAGACTAACAAGACCTGCCAGCAGCTTATCCGAGACAACCATTCTTGGTGCAACTTAGTCACGGGCCGGATGACTCAACTCCCATGCATCTTTGGCGATGTGGCAGGGTGTGTTCCCAAGGGAACTTCGCGGGAAAAAGAGAATTTCATGGACATGTTCAACCGAGTGAACAGCTGTGAACTGAAAACAACTCAGTGGTGTTTCAGTCATCAAAGCATGTGCTCAATATGCAAAGAGGAGGATTACAACTGCAGTGGTCTTCCCTGTTGGGACTTCAGCACAGCAGGAAATCAAAAAAAAGAAGAAGGAGAGACCCGAAAGGTCTTCCTAACATATGCTCGGAGGCACATATCGCAACGGACGCCCCTCTTGGTCATTGAGAACGTCAAGGCGTATGATGTATAAAAATACAGAAGATGTAGGTGTGTGCAGGTTCTGTGGTCATACTAAAATTTGTTTGAATCTAAATTCAACAAACCATAATGTTGTAATGTTTCACATTTTAGCGATTTACGATTTATTTTCAGGATTTTTTCCCACTCACAAACCTGCTTTCTGGGCAGGGCCTTCGGTTAGAGATGATCAAGTGGCTGTTTTGCTTGCACTATTTCATCCACGTTCTTGTGTGCGGGGTAGAGGATCAAGGGCATGATGGGGCAAAGCGTGATCGCCTCTACATCATTCTTGCCCACAAGCAACGGACGACTCAGCTGTTTGATGTGAAAGAGATCTACAAAGCTGTATGCAGAAGCATCCGGGCATACATTTGCACCAAACCTTCAGACTATTGTGTTGCACCACCTGTCGAGATCCAGAATGAAGCCATGCATTTGGCGAGTGTGAGAGGCAAACAAATTGGTGCTTCTTGGTTGCATCTCCTGAACATGCAAATTTTGGGTTCCTTAATAGGGGTTATTAACACCTATTTAGATTATTATATTTTGCATATGTAAACTTTTTTTTCTGAGGACGACTACTTCTCCCTCCTCACACAGCGAGAGCGTGATTGCTTGCAAAAAGCACGTGCTGAATACCAATCGATCTATGGTCAGTCCCCAGATCATGACAAGGATTTGCTCGTCTTTTTGGGCGACAATTTCGGAAACAGAAAAACCTGGAGCGGAATATCGAGGACATGATAGCCGTTCCAAATATATTGTTTCATGTTGTTCCTACTGACTCGCGTTGGATAAATAAGAACATGATACATTTCTGGCGTTGCAAACACCAACTGATAGTGCATTTTGAAACAGTTTTATATGAGAAATGTCCCTCTCCATAGAGAAGATTTCAAATTTCTTACTTTTTGATTTGTCAATGAGTTTTGATTTTGATATTCATGAACTTCATTTATTGTCTTCACAATTTCTATAGTAGAATATATGGCAGAACCAAACCTGTGATGAGTTTACATGTTCTTCCTGTTCTCAAAATCTAGCGCGACCACAGGAGAATCCCCACATTCCGAACTGGTGGTGGACTGATGTGGTGGGTGTCAGAGGGTCGGTGGATGACTCATCGAGAAAGGCTATCCAGCCTTGCTTTTCCCGTCACTTCTTCGGTTGCCTCTACTATGGGGGTTCCGGAGCTTCCCATCCGGGATTGGTGCCGGGCATCTGCCATAAGTGGCAATGCCATGAATTTTGCGACAGTATCGGTGGTGCAGTTGGTTGCTCTTGTATGTTTCCAAAAAACAGCCTAGGTCCTAGACTGACTGCCTTGACTCAATTGACTGCAGTGCCAATGAAATGTGGAGAAAAAAACAAAAATGCTTTTTGCTTACAATTGCTGCGTGAAAAACCACATTAGCACACCTTAATAGCAGCTATTAGCAGTCATTAGAGTCTCAGATTGATTTATGCTTGTGATTTTGCAAAGCGGTAGTTCCTGAATGCTCAAACTCAAGTGCTCTAGTGACTGAGCTTTGTCATGGCGCCAAAGAAGATGAGGGGTGAAACAATTGGAGAGTTACCATTCGCAACCATACAGAATATCTTGGATCACTGTGACCCTGACCTGACGAACTTTGGCGTGACCGACTCTCTGGACTTCAACACTTTGTTGGTCATGCTGTGCTTCATGACTGGGTGGAGTCCTAATCATGATCAGCCTGAGAACTTAGGCGGCAGGTTTATTTTGATTCGCTTTTTCACTATGGGTACTTTTTTTGAGAAAAAACTCTTGCATTTTTTTCTCGGATTGTGTTTTTTGTTTTGGATCCTCATCCGCTTAGGAAGACAGAAGGAAAATTGAAACAAGAATCTTGGATTACTTTTTGGCATGGTTCATCCTTTTTCCCACAAAAGACGCTGTATTCGCATTGGTCGAATTGTATCTTAAATTTTGTACTATCATGTTTCTCAGGCAGCCCACCTCGAATATGTGCGTCGTGACCGGCCACTGAGAAAAGCGTGGTGGTCCCCAGAAGAAGTGACTTCTTGCATGGCAACCTACCTTAAAGGGAAAAGCACCACAGACGACCTGGGTGCCTACGGCAATTGGTTCGCACGTGGCTATGAAGATGCGCCAGCACCTATGCCAAAATTCATATTGGAGTTAATGGATCACCAACACGTGGAGGAGATTGCGCAGCAGAAAGGGAAGAAGAAAAAACCAGTCACTTCCAACGCATTCAGAATTTAGATAGTAACGTATTATAATGAATTCAAAACACAATTGGCACTAATAGAGTCTAATAGGCACTAATAGAGTCCAAACTGATGAAATTTTATTTTCTGTTCCTTTGGATTTGGTAAATTTGAAGTTATCTGTTTAATTTATTGATAACACTGTCTCAAATTTTCATGTGTTTCTGCCATGCCCAAATAAGGCAAAGGAAGATGAAAACACTATCCCTGGACTTCCTTCTGAATTTCACTTCTTTGCTGACGATATCCAAGACCTCAGTACCACAGACTTCCCACCACATGGCTATGAGCTTCACAGTGAAGGTGGAGAAATTCATGTCGGACACCCTGAACTCCCTGAAGAAATGACGCTGATGCCCGGTCCTTTGTGTTTTTCAAAATACATTCATACACCCAAGAGGGCCTATTAAGCACTATTAAGCATTATTTGTGCCCCTTGTCATCTACACCATCCTGAGGTTTTTCCCGACAACGAGAATGATGAGTGGAATGTGTTTCCTACTCGAGATGGAGACACCTTGTGGAACGCCAAGGCAGATAATGAGGATGATCCAGTGTATGTCCAAAAGGTCATGGAGTTTCTTCGAACCCGAGTCCTTGAGCATGATGACACCATTGCATTCAGAAACCAGCAGGCGTATGAGAAGGCAGCCGACACAACACAGAGCGCACCGAAGGCAAGCCGCAAAGAGCAGCAGAAAATGATCCCCAAAGAGAAGCAGGAGAAGAGGAAGAAAATCAGTCGATCCGCAACTCCGAAATCAGCCCAGGGCTTAGATTTATGGATGATCCTCATCTGTGGTTTTTACCATTTAAGCAATGATTCTTTTGGTGCATGAACAAATGTCCTCAGGTAGCAATTTTGCCAAACGAATATGCAGATGTAAATAGGAAAACCCAAACAGTATATTTATATATATATATATACATATTAGTGTCTAAATAACCAGCGAACAACGACAAAAAGGTATATTTTTGGTTTTATACAGTTTTTAATCATTTGTCACATATGTGTTCTAAGGAGAAGAGAACCAAGATTGGCTTGACAGACATGTCAACCATTGATGTGATGGACAGAGTTTTTCTTCATGAAGGTCCTCCTGGTACATGGTTCGTTGTCCGGCCATATGATTTTAAGCAGGCACTGGTGAGTATCCCCGACCCGTTTCTGGGCATCATGAACCAAAAGGAGAAAGGAAGGACAACGGTGATCATTGACTCCAAGAGCAAGGCTGCGGACCCACAGTTTGCTCATCGTTTGCTTCGACACAGCACAGAGACTCCGACAGGAGCAGCATTTGTGAAGTGCAAAATGTTTCTAGGCTTTATGCTTAGCAAGTTTTTTGAATTTTGTGTGTTTTTCGATGTGTGAAAAGGTTGTTTGTTTAGAACTGCCTCTATCTTATATATTTTTTAAGATCAGAGTGAGTGAATAGAGCTTAATAGTGGCTAATAGGTCCCCAGTATTCCAATTCTTTGTCACCTAAGGATGAGGAAAGACTGGGGTCTTTTTGACACCTCTGCAGCTGGCGCAAAGTTTGCCTGAGCTTTGGCAAGGCCAGAATTGGAATGGCTCCCGCATAGGTGTCATGTTCACCATATTTTTAGGTTCAAACTGAGTGTGGTTTTTAAGTTAGAACTTGTGTTAAACACCAAAATAACGTTGTCTTGATGTGATTTCCATGCTGGTTCTATTCTGTAGAATTGCACTCAGTAGAGGCTCGTTGTGGTGAATCCAATTTGAAATGTTGATGATGACTAAAAGGATAGGGTTTTCGAACCCCGGCGCTGCGAACCCCAACGCTACACCTTGCTGCTGACAGAGGTGGAAAAAACTTGGGTGTAGCACAGCCATACAACCTAACATGCTGCATTTGCAAAGCCTGAATTTTGTGACATGTGGCTTTCATGTCGCAGCCTGAGTACAACGAATCAAGATTCCCGACCTGACCAAGTTGGAAAATTCGATTGTGTGGCATCAAGCCATGGCTTCTTCCACCTTGAAGCAGAAGGAGAAAACCAATCTACAGATCGTGTTTTTTGGCTCCTGATTAACACTTGTTTTTGGTGAGCCAGTAGAAGGAGGAAGTTCTGAAGGAAAACAAAATGTCTTGGAAGATCCAACTAAGGCCAACTTAGCACTAATAAGCACTATTAAGCATTAAAGGCTCCAGGAGCGTGGAAGCCAGGAGGGAGGAAGGGAAAGGTTCATGGGATGTACATAGTGCAGATTCTTGGAAAACATCAAAACATTGCAGTTTTCCCGTTTTTGGTATTGTTTTTTGCCATTGTGGATAGTGCCACATAGCGCCATATAGCGCCACAACCATTTTCATGGGAATCTTGGAACACATCAAAAAAATGCATGTTCCCGTTTTTGGCATTTTTTGCAATTTTGGATAGCGTACCAGATATAGTAGCGCCACATAGGACCATAACCATTTTGATGGGATTCCTTTAAAGCATCAAACAAATATATAATTTTTCGCCATATTTGCATGTTCCCGTTTTTTTGTTTTTTTCCATTTAGGATGTTACAACCCAAGGTTCCCTGGAGAATTGAGAAAGAAGCCATCGGTTGAAGCAACACCATCCAAAGTCGTTGCCGCTAAAGATGCACGAGCTCCCAAGGCAGCGGCAGCCCCAAAGGCGAAAAACGCACCAAAGAAGCAAGCGAGCGATCCCGGAGGTCGACGTGTGGCAACAAAGCGGTACACGCAGAAAACAGTCCAAGACATTCCTCTGTGTCACTTGAGGGACTGGCTGCATCACGCAGACAGTGTAAATGCAAATTACAAGGTGACGGCGAAATTCAGCAAAGAAGAGTGTCTCCAGATGTTATCCTTCTGCCTGGGCTTTCATCCGAAAGATCCACCTTGTGAGCCCTGCCCTTAGAGCGATGCATTTGGGATCTGCCCCATGCCTATGAGGAACCTTTCAACTTTCAACCAAGGGCATTTGAGATTTAATTTCAAAGCGGCTTCACACCATCTATGTTTGCAAAAGTTTGATGCGAATCAATCAGTCACAGCTCACAATTTTATTCACTCATGTTTGAGGTCTCTTGGGATGCTTGAACTCAAAAGGCCGTCCTGTAAATATGCACTGAAGATGATTTTCTTCCAACTTTGCTACAATGATATTTTTCCAACTCAAAGCAAATACTATTTGATGTTATTAGCGCCTATTTGGCAGTTCTGGCACCTAGGCGAAATCCGGAAAAGATGTTCAGAGTGTCTGTGCAAAATTAGAAAAGTTTAACTTTCTTTGGGACCATTCAACAAGTAGAGAGTGTTTGCCCATAGAAGATAATTTTACTGTTTCTTGGTTTTGAAGCATGGATATTAGCAGGTTTCTGAGTTTTGAGATTCTTTGTTTCTTGTCCAGGTCGTGAAGATGGAATACCTCAGGAGGGGCAGGCCGCTGAGGAAGACACGGTGGAACCTGCCAGAGATCAAAAGGTGGATGGACTACAGCCTCAACAGGGAGAGCAAAGGGCCGGGGGAAGAAGATATCGGAGCCTTTGCCCGCTTCTTTTCCGAGCCGGAAAGTGGGACCCAAAAATCTCCTATGCCCGCAGATGTGATCGAGTATGAAGAGAGATTGACCGAGAAGCATTCCAAGGCAATTTTGATGTTTTGAAACAAACCTTATTAGCATCTAGTAACTGCTCATAGATATAGACTTAAATAAATAATTAACTAAGCCCAAGTTTTCTTGTACTCTGCTGAGAATTTTAGATAGAACAACATAAGTACATGTTTGTGTGGTTAGTTTAACCTACCCTGCAAATAGGCAGCTTCACGCGCTGGAGCTGCGGAGACGGAGCAGGACATGATGATCGCGCTTGCAGAAATTGACGAATTCCCCAAGAACGGGTATGAAGGCCGAAAAGTGGGCGAGACCTTCGTCATCACCCATCCGGAGTTGAATCCTGTGGTGCAACTGGTGTCGAATCCTTATTTTTTCAAAATACTTTGCAGCCCACAACATGAACTTGAATTTTCTGAATAGCACACATCAGACAAATCAAAACACCGAGGCTGCGTGTCGAAGAAAATGAGCCCGAATTGTTCAGTACAAAGGATGGAGACACAGTCTATGATGGTTCTGAGAATGACCCAGAGTATGTGAACGATCTCTTTCAGCAGATGAAAGAAAACATGCTGAACATGCAGGAATGCAGCTCTGATAATGATGAGGACGACGACCGAGCGCCACCAATTCAGGACCATGATATGTATGCGATGGAAGTGCGCATACCTGCCCTTTCCAATGTATTTATGTAGTTTTTTTTGTGTTTACCCAAACGTATTTGTATGAGGAACTATTTAGAATTGTGATCATCATATATTTTTTGTACCCTAAAGGTTGATTAATGCTTATTAAGCCTTAATAAGCCATTCCAAATCAGAGACTAGCAGCTTCATCAAACCCTAAAAAACGAAAGTTAAAGAGAAATTGTGCAGACCAAGTTTTCAAAATAGCCTTCTTCATTTCCTTTCAGAAGAAACCAACCACTCACACTTGAGGCTGACGATTCCAGTGAGGAGAGCTCCGATGACAAGGAGGAACCGAATGAGGTGAAGGACAAGGAACCGGATTTGAGCCAGATCAATGCAGAAGAACGGGTCTTTCTTCACATGGACGAAGAGGAGAAGATGTGGCTCGTGCGCCCTGCTGACAACAAGTTCATTGAGTTGAAGTACTCTGATCCCATTCTTCAACCGTCAAAGATTGGAGACAAGTGGGTGATCGTGGTTGACAGCAAGTCCCATCAGGAAGGATCTAAGCCCAAGTACTCAGAACATCTTCTCAGTGGCAAAAAGGCGAAGGAGGTGAGCGATGAGAAGCTTTTGGAGGAGTGCCAGAAGTCAGGTCCTTATTTTCTTACAACCCTATCCAGTATGGTTTCGATGTCCTTAGTGCAAGACATGCAAATTCATAGTTTTTAGATGTTATTTGATATTTCTCTTATGTGAGAGCCAGCGCGGTATCTAGTAAGGCACCAACTGGGAGGGCAACTAAACCAATAAAACCAATTCAATAACATATGAAATATTAAAAAAAACTGGAGTTCCCAAAACAAAATGTGATTGATTTTATTTATCTTATTTTCCACATTTTTTCTAATTTTTCTTATGTTGTCCTATTGGTTTTATTTTTCTTATTTCTCCTCATGTGCTTTATTATTATTATTATTATTTTTTTTTGTGTAATTATTGTATAGTTTGGTATTTTGCATGTTTTGATACGTTTTCTTGATGTTTTTTTCTGGTTTTCACATATTTATTATGTTTTTCTTATGTTTCCTTTTGTTTCTTATTAGTTCTTATTAGTGCTTATTTGTTATTTGTGGCACTTTTTCTTATTTTGCTTATTGTTTCTTATTTTCCTTATTTTTCTTATTTTCCTTATTTTTCCTTTTTTTTTTAAATTATTTTTTCTTATTGTTCCACCTTCGCAGGCCCAGCCCAAATAGTCACCTACCAAAGAGCGACCTCATCCTCATATGATATTCATAATTCAGCTTGTAGAAAACCCATCATGGCCGAAGCTCTGTCAGGTATCGTGAGAAATGGCTGCTGCCACCTTTGAAGAAGCGCACCTTGGGTGGCTCTCTGGCATCGCCTTTGCAGGCCAAAAAAGCAAAGAAGGGATTGGACACAGTTCCTACTTCTCCAGGTTCTCATGTGGATGCCCCACCACTGGAAGATGAGAAGGACATAGGGACCCGACCAATTTTTCAAGCGTATTTTTTTTTCAGCTACCGTTTGGCACATTTGGCTGTGGGGGAAAGTTTTGAAGGCAAAACCACGACCAGTAACCATCATTGTTTCATGAGAATGAAACCAACTTCAAAACGGAAAATAGGGTCTTGTTCTGTTTTTCCGCCAGGAACGGCCCTCTGAACCAGAGCAGAATGGCACGGGTTCTCCGGAGAAGACAGAGGAGAAGGATGCAATGGATGCAGAGACCACTGAGCAGGGGGAGTGATCATATGAAACCTGATACGGGGATTGTCAGTGCAATCTGGTGTCCAAGCAAAGCATTCAAGAATCATCAAGAATGTTTGAATTCTATTCCTATCTAACAGTACGCTTAGGCACTAATAGATACTAATAATGTGCTGGATACCACAATCACTCTTAAGGCCTTTCCTGCCTGACATTTTGCCCCAGCACTCGGATTGGCATCATGCCAAGAATTTTGATTTACGCAGCCACCAGCCGGCAGCAACATAGTTCAACAAAAACATACAAAATCAACTTGTTTGCTCATTCAGCCTGATAAAAGGGAAATTCAATCCATCGTTTGTGCCCATGTAATGTGTGCGAAATTTTGCTGGTGTGCGATTCATCGATGTGGTAGATCCCAGGCCACTAGTTGCAGCACAAATACTTGAAAAAAACAAATCCATTTCAAGGCAAATACTGCTTATTAATGCTTATTAGAGTGTTGTCTTTACTGATAACTGGTTGTTTTATATATATTTCTCATGGTGGCTAGTGATCATACACCATGATGGAGGTGTCGAGATTTGCGGCAGAAAAAAAACAAGCATTGAGCTAGAACACATGGCAGCAGTTCCAAACTACTAAGAAATCATGATCTGATGATGTGCCAGCAGGGTCCAAACAGTTAACCTGTCAAATGAAAAAACATCAGGTAGGTCCAGAGAGCAACTCAATGCTGAGTTTCTGCAACATCTTAAAGTTCAAAATCGGGTTAGCTTGCTGTGCCCAAAAGCTATGTCGTCTCAAGCCTGTCTTGAGAACTACTTCTGGTTGGTGGTCAATACATCTACAAGGACAACTCATGATCATCCACAGGTAGATGTGACGATGCGGACACGCAAGCGCAAGAGATCCGAGGATGATGAGGGCCTACTTCAGTTCCCGCACTTTGGTTTTTTAAATGTGCTGTTCTGCTTTTGAAAGCATGAAACATTATATAATGCAATGCAGCCATATTCAACCTTATTCATATGTGTCATGTGTGGAGTGGAGTGTCCTTCCCTGATTTTTCTCTCTTCACGACTTAAGGAAATTGACAGAGCTTGAGCTAGCTAACCAACGCAGGCTGACTGATCCACTGTACAGTTGCTTTTGGAGAAGTTCAAGATGAGGGTGCAATACCCTATATCTCGATCAAGGGCTAAGATCTCTAGCTGCACACAAGTTCCGCAGTTACCTTTCCTGTCAAAAGACATGGGAATTGAGTAAAAAAGTTGACCACCCGACTGCTACATGTATTGCTTGACTCGTTCTTTGCAATTTTATACGCAATGAATTTTGTGAACCACAGCTTCTGGATCGAGCACAGTTGATCCAGCTCATTTCCCTGTGATGGCGAATGAAAGCGGACCCCGGATGCGTCCCGAGATGACACAGAGACCTGGTTTGTGAATTTGAGGTATATCTCTGGATTTCCAAAATAACGTATAGCCCGAAAAGGTTTTTGACTATATATAGATTCAAACCCGCATTCCATTTCACTTCGGACATAGTTTGCCAAGGTGGCCTGATGCAAGCGAACCATTGGCTTTGGGACCAGAACGGCCAGAAATCAAACGCAAGACTTTGCCGGACCGATACCTGAGACAATTGCCTGCACGGCAGACGCAGAGAGATGCCAGCCGATCACAGCCCAGGAGCAATCCAGTTCTTTGACTGCATAAATACATTCTGGCAGGTTCTAGAAGTAGCAACTACTTGTTAGTATCTATTAAGCCCTATTACTTGTTTTGACTGTTTTGCCGATAGCCAACTTTGCTAAAGAATTCCCACACCAAATTTTCTAAGGCCGATGAACGGTGCAGGAGTCGTGGACAAGGCCGAGACAGGCATCAAAAACGTCACGAAGGTAATGCAGTAACTTGGCATCTTTTAGTCAGCTCCGCTTCCATTGTAAATAATGAACAGACTAATAGCTGCTATTAGCATTGAAATGAATTCTTCGTTCCCTTTTTCTCCATGTTTTTTGCATCAGGATTTCTGAAAGATCATGAGCATACTAATGTACACATGGGTGGGCATGTCCATGTCAAGTTATTAACAACAATACCAGGAGGCAGAGCACACTATCCAGTTTACAAAATGCAGGGGTTTGGCAACATATCTTGTCCAAAAAACAGGTGCCCTATACCCTGAAAAAATCTACAAAAATGGGGTTCATTGCCCGAGCCATCATCTTCTAAGTGCTGAAGCTTTTGAAAAAAAAACAATCTACGGAAACCCTCGTTTCCTCAGGGACCCAATCTTGTTAAAATTCAAAATCATACTCACAACTAAGGTACAAAGTTTTTCCGGAAGTTCATCATCAGCGACATTGCGTAGTTCCGCAACTTGGCAAGTTCTCATATGTTAAAACTCCCACTATTAGTTGTTAATAGCTGCTATTCATATGTATGCCACTGAGAATGTGATAAATCTTCTCCATTATCTCAAAATTTTTGTGATCCTTGGATTTGTCCATGTTCGGAGCCAAATGTGTGAAAATTCCAAGATCCTACCTGTCACTCAGGTACAAGGTCTTGCGGGAAATGCATTCTCAGCGACATTGCGCCATTCGGTGACTTGGAAGTTTCTAATGTGCTGATAGGTCCCTTATTACTTGTTAATAGATGCTATTTGTATGTCCTAAATTTAGACTCCAATCCACTGGCATGGTTTTCAAATGATTTTTGCTTGGGATCACATAATACCAGCTATTAATAACACCTGCTCATGCAAGTATGGCTTCCTAAACCTAGCCCGCAACAACGGTACCAGATGAGGGTGGATCCTCCGCGAGGGCACAGAGCACTTCTTCTGTCATGCCAGAGACAGACGCAACCTGGTAACCAATTTTGTTTTGATAGGGTTTCGTTGTAAGCAGCAAACAAATCTGATATCCATTTATGTATGTCTGTAAATTATATATATAATTGTATTGTATGTAAAAGGTATAAGGTAGAGTTTATTATCCAAATGGCTTTTTCCTCAAGCACTAGCATTTCAACCGAAAACACACACTACGACTGTGATAAATTTTCTCCATTATCTCAAAATGTTTGTGATCCATGGAATTGTCCATGTTCGGAGCCAAATTTGTGAAAATTCCAAGATCCTACCTGTCACTCAGGTACAAGGTCTTGTGGGAAATGCATTCTCAGCTACACTGCGCCATTCGGTAACTTGGAAGTTTCTCATGTGCTGATAGGTCCCTTATTACTTGTTAATAGATGCTATTTGTATGTCGGAAGTTGGTTTCTGAGTTTGAATTTCCTGGAGCGTTGCAAAAAAGAAACAGTGTATAAGCAGTGAAGTCCAATTCCTAGATGTATTTTCTGTTCTCTTTGGGGTTCATCTCAAACAAAAGGACTACAAAACCATTATTAATAGTAGCTATTTGTGCAAAAGGGCTCCACAAACTCCATGAACCCATTTGCCAACAAAGGTATCAACTGGTGTACCGGATGGTTCAACCTCTGTCACACCAAAGAACGCAGAAACTCGGCAGATTTTTCTGAAAACAATGCAGTAAGAATTGTTTCACACCAATTCTCCAAAATCACATTTAGTACCTTTATTGAGCTTATCTTTTCTAATTTTCCCCTGGTTTTGATGATCACTGATGTTCCTCTGCAAGGACGCTCTGTATGGAGAAAATGGAATTTTGTCAAGCATTTCACCGAGAGATCGTGTGGTTTTGCACATGGAGGGCAAACGTTGCTTTCTCCTGCGACCCAGCGATGGAACAACAGCTTTCTTGGGAATGCCAAACCCAGTTCTCATGGTACGACCAGGAACCAATCGCTATGCCCGGGAGGCATGGATCTACCAGCGCGCATCTTTGCCGAAGCATTCAAAATTTTATTCTACTGATGGTATACTTTCTAGCGAGAATGCGTTCACAGCTTCTGGCACGGCAGAAAAACTTGCAAAGAGGCAGGGAAATCATGTTGGCTGTTTGTTTTGCATTGTTTGCATGTTTCAGGGGAGGGCAAATTGCACTGTAACCAAGTTATCAAAATTTGTGCTCTTCTTGCTTTTCTCTCCTAAAAACATGGTAGATACTGAAAGGTGATTTTCCTCCTGTTTTTGCACAATTTTCTACAGGTTGCGTGAGAAGTGGGGACTACCAGAGCCTGCCTGAAGATTTCACTGGCAAGATCAGTTTGCATGAACCAAATTGGCGAAAATGCACATTATCCTTTTTGCCAAGTCAGCTGATTCTATCCAGTTGCCACACATGTGGCTCTTACTTCGCATTCTGCGGCGACCTTTCAAGGTAAAAAAAAAGTGCGAGGGACTGCCTACACACAAATCTCTCAAAGTTTGAAAGATTTCCAAAGGTTTGAAATTCGCATTTTTCACACTAAATGACAATGATTCCCAAAACACTGCCGAGGCATTGACCAAACAGATTTCTGAAGCTCTCAACGGCACCTCTGTCATGAGGCCTGACTGGCTGATTATGCATGTGAGTTACTGATAGCTCTCAATAGCAATGAGTAGCAGGCATTTGCACGCCCAGAGAAAGAAATCCAAATATCGCTGGTGACACAGGCCCTTACTGTTGCAGTCCGAATGTAAGGCCTACTTCGCCGGTGACCCAGACTCCCAAAATGAAATCAAAGCATGTGGGCACAAAAAAAGGAACATACTGTGCGACTGTTATGTGTTATGTGGATTGAGGTGATTCTGCAATTCCTGAATCACCTATTCACGTCATTTGGAAACAAAACCTGGCTGGACTTCATCCCAAAGCAAGCGGAAATGATGAAATTTGGCGGCAACCTTCGAACTGTACATTTGCCACTTGTCTACAACTACCCCTTGCTCAAACTTGCTTCTTGGTTGCAAAATGTTTCTTCAGAGCATGAAGAGTGTATTAGCACCTATTAGGCAGTATTAATAGTTTTACTCAATATACAAATTTACTAATATGGAATGTTCTCACCAAGGTCACTGATGGTGAGACAGTCCAGAACAAGGCATTTGAGTACGCCTTCGGCATTTTATGTGCCAGAGGGTTCGCGGACCAAGAGGACGCCCATAGCAAATGGAACTGCTTCAAAAAGGCAGTGTCTCGTTCCAAGATGGACATGAAGTTGCTCAAGTTGACATTGATATGTAGATTTGGCTGCATTCAGATTCGGATTTTTGAATATTTGCTGCTATTTCAAAGTGCTTGTACAACAAAAAAGTACCAGTCACCGCGGAGGCAACTTCAATCATGGAGCCTTCTTATCAGGCGATCGGTTGCATCAGAAGTTGGAGGCAGTGACGGCGTTCCTGGAACTTCAGAATGAAGAGTTCTTCGCAACCATGTCCGAATCCATAGCTCTTGACCGTGGAATTGACTTCAGCCCAGACATGGTTCATGTGAACTTTCAAACGTGGATGGAAGCCAACTGCATCAAGAACCGTGGGCATTTCGCTACTCGACTGACTCAGCAGAAAATTCATCAAGTAGCTTGATCTTTGTCCTGGTATTGTTGTATGTTTCATAGGATTACAGCAGCACAATGCCGCACAAGGTGAGAAACAAGGCCTGGTTTGGTGCCCAAAAAAGCTTCCGCAGTCTCTTGCATGACTGGACTATACAAACGGTGGCTGTGGATTCCATGCTGGATTATGTTTTGGAGGCCTGGAGAATGCATATTTTTGCAATTCTGTCATGCTTATTAGTGCTTATTTGTGCCTATTTGGGATTTCCTTGTAAGGTGCCTAAATAAGGTTTAGTAGACCGTTTTCCAAGTACCTACTTAATAATGATGACAATGTCAACAGACGTATATTTCGCAACGGTGTTGCCGGAAAATTTTCAACAGTCTCAATTGAGTTGATGGTTACTATCTACCTCTGGTTTCCCAGAAATTTCATGATCGCCTTTTTTGGTGCTTGCAGCAGGCACAAAAAGCTAACGGAAATACCAACGATGTGCAAATTCCGGTGGTTGACGAGGAGGAGCCTCCACCTGACCCACATCCAAACGAGCCCTACACAACAAAGAGCGAGTTGTACAAATACTTTTCTGGTAAGGGACCTGCTGTCATGATCAGCACATTTCTTCATGATGAGATGAACCGGGCTGCGGCAGTCATCTTATGTGATTTGTCTGCTGCTCTGGAGAACGAGTATGTCGAGAATCAAAACGTTATGTCTTCAAGCCCAGAATATGCATTGACTTGGGCAGCTGATCGTGCGAACAGCAGTTGGTTTGGAATGATAGCCAGAACTTTGGAAGTTCTGCAGAGTGTTGAGCTGGCAAAGAGATTGCGGCTGACTTTGCCAGGCGATACTCCATTTGAGTTTGAGAAGCTGCCTAAACAACTGGTGCCAGAAGTGGAGGTGTTGAACTTGGCTTGGGATTTCGCAACACACTTGGTCTCAGCAGTTTTCTGGGCCAATGCCATGCACAAGTACCGGTTGCCACATGCTTCTGCTGTCTTTCTCGACCATCGTCAATACCAAAATGCTGTCCAGGATGTGAGGAAAATGGTGGATACGCTGCTCAAAGATTCTTGGAAAGCAAACAATAATCAAGAACGCTTAAATTTTACATTTACGCAACCAAGCTTTTTGTTTGTTCTTAGAGATTGGTAAAGTTGAATAAAGTCAGGACCTTACTGGCAAATGTCAGCATATTAAGCTCTAATAGGCTCTAATAGGCACTAATAGGCACTATGTGGGCCACAAAAGGGCATTCACCCTTAGTTGCTAAGGCTGAAGAGATCTACACCAATGACAAGGTGTCACATGTTTTCCTGGGAAAGTGCTTGGCCGATGTGGGGTGGAATCACCATCAGTTCCCTCGAGAATTGATGGCATATATCATACAGGATCTGCCTGCGTCTCTGGAGCATGTTCTGTATCAGGCTTTTCTTGGCCCGTCGACCACGAAGGAGATATGTGAGAGCACGTTTGCATGGTTACACTACAAAGTTCAATCCACTACCAGAAACAGCACTATGAGCGACTGGACAAAATATGCTTATTGCATCCTGAGTCCTTACACAGAGGCTTCGGGCATGAACCAGCTGCTGCCTGATAAGGATGACTGGCACATCATTCGTTCAGAAGCTGGAAAAGACTTCAGGGGATCAGCCGCCAAATTTTTGAGCATCCAGTCTACGGAGATGCCATCAGGAGTTCCGCATTTGGACGCTGACAAAATGAACAAAAAATGGGCAAAAGCTGGAGTTTTGAGCGATGAGCGGTCAATCGCTGCTGTGGCTTACTTGCTGGAGGAAGCTGAAAATAATTGGTCAAGGATCACAACACACTGGACAGGCGATTGGGCTTGAATTTGCATTTCTTTATTACAATCGACTGTTGTCTGAATATGTTTTAATAGCAGTTATTAGTAATTATTCATGTATGGGGAAGAATATTCCTTGGACACAAACAGGTTCATTGTTGGTTCTTGGGCAAGTTTATCAGCACAAGCACTCCAAGAACTTTCTGATGGCAATGGGGTTTCGCACATGGTGCTCCTTTGGACTACCTCTCACCAAAACCTCTGCTGGAGGGAAGGCGTGAAGAAAAAAGAACTTAAAAAAAAAGTGTTCCAAAAGGTTTTCCTTTCTCTGGAGCTGATTGGTCCGACCTTGTGGTGCCAGGACTACCTGGTTTTTCGTGCAGAGACCATGATCCCAATGGCCAACCACGCTTTTAACTCGAACAGTGACTGGCAGCATGTGTCAACGCAAAGACTCTTGCCATGCATGATGCACATGGAACTGGGCCTCGGAACAGCTCTTCAAATAGTTGAAAATGATGAGGACAACGAAGAGTATGGTTTACTCAAGTCCGCTTTGCGGGCCCATGTGTTCATTTTGGCTGAGAATTTGAAATCTATCACCGCGAAGGTTGGGGCAAAAGTGCCAACTTTTCCGAATGGATCGGGCGCCCGCGGCTCCGTTGTGAAAGCGGACCATGCCCGGGCTCTGATCGACTTGTTGTTTGGAGATGGTGAAACCCAGAAAGCCAAGGAAGACATGATCAACGCATTGGCTCCTCCAGTAAAACCGAAGAAAAAAGTTGCTGAAACGCTTTCCCAAGATGACGAAATCATGGCCATGATTGCGCAATTAGATCCAGAGAACGCGGCTGCTTTTCATAGAATGGCTGACTTGGCAAATGCGAAGCTTTCCGAAGTCTACAAACATGAAGGGGCCGAAGAAGTCAAGAAACGTGTTCGGGAAGCCTTGGAAGCAGAAGGAATGGAGGTTGACTTCCAGAAAACAGGTTCTGTCAAAATCACTAAAAAAAAAGCTCTGAGGCAGACCCTTGGTGACTTTAGAAACAGTTCGAATTATCAAGGAATTTTGTTATTATTCCTCCACAGGGTTGTTTGCATAATAATGGCGGAAGGTTCGAAAGAAGGAAACCACTTCCGTTGACTGTGTCATCTCTTGCAAAAACATGCAAAAACTATTTCTGTTGACAGCTATGCTTTGTTTTACTTGATTTTTTTTGATCGTGGCATACTTTGCCTCGGACTCAGGATGACAAAAAAATGGAGATCCCGGTGGATGCTGCTGATGCAGAAAAAAATGCACCGGATCCTACCATTGAAGACAAACCTTTCCAAGGCAAGCAAAAAAAGGAGGACGATGATCCTGCTCCGGCCGAAAAAAAACCGAGGATTGCCAGCACTCCACCCTCGCTCAAGGCGCTCTTGCCCAACAAGGGCAATAGTGGTGAAGTGTACATCCTGCGAAATCCAAAAACTTTTGGATACCAATTTCGATACCCTACGAGTTTCTTGGCAAGAACAATGCTCTCAAACAAATGCCACCAATGGCTATCAGCAGCTATTAGCAGCTAATTGGCTGCCAGCTTCACTCAGTTGCTCTTCATTACAATTTGGTTCAGTGTTTGTGGGATTTCGGATTCCTTTGAAGGAGATAGCAAAATGATGAAAAACATTTGTAATCTACCTAGATCCATGAGTATCAGACAATCATCTATATAGGTATCTACCAATTTTCATACATACCCATATATGAACTTTCATTCATACTCATTTTTGAAATCTATACAACACATTTATGATACAATGTCCTTTTTCCGTGGTGCTCACAGCTGAGGTGACCGTATTGGCCAGCAATCAATGAGCAGAAAGTGGCCAACAAGCAGCAACCCGGATGAGGCTACAGCCCTCATAGCATGCCTGCATTGAGCCTTTGCCAGGTGGAATGCTCAAAATCCAGACCGAAAAGAAGAACGGCCTCACGTGTTTGTCATTCATGACTTTCTCAACACCCTGAAGGGGGATGAACCTTGGTTGGGAATTGGGGTTCGTTCCTAAAAGATTTTTTTTCCCACAATTTGTGCGGCGACATTGTTTAGGGTCTACCTATATGTTATGGTATTATGATCGTTCCACAACGGAGGAAGTCATTGACACCAGACGCTGACATCTGGATCCTGAGTGCATGAAACGAATGGAAAAAAATATCCAATGCCACCGGGGACGGCATGTGCAGTCATAAGCATTATATAAATATGAATACCAACCAACTACAATTGGGTATTTGAATGTTTTGTTTTCCACAAGAACAGCACAATCCCCTTGAGATTTCTTGAGGCGGTCCGTGGTTGGGAGAGAGGAATTGGAAAGGCAACCAAATTTGTGCGGAAATATTATTTCCAAAATATTATGCTGGTTCCAAAATACGCAGAATCCATTTGCAGCCAACCTAACAACACTATTAGTGAATATTATTGCTTTGGTTTGTTTCATAGTGGGGGCTTCAATGGGGATGAGGATTGCCGTGCCGAAATTCCAAGATATGTCACAGCATATATTTTTGATTATGGGCATCATGAGTTTTCAAAAGCCCAAATAAGTCCTAATAATCTCTAATAAGTGCAGTTTTGAAGATATAGACTGCCAGTCTTCTATTTTATCTCACATGGTGGCAGAATTAATCACTAATTTGATTTGTTGGAACTGCAAAAGCTGCAGAAAAAAAAAGCAAAACAAATGAGCCATCATCATCCCGGCCAATACATATTATGTATTCGTTTTTGAGCTTTCACATTCGTTCGTGAGCTAGCACAGTGTTGCTGAGGTAGATCGTTCCACTTGAGCGACCGTGGATTTTTTCCCCAATGATTCGTTTGATAGAGATGGTACCCCTGTTGCAGCCAAGAAATTTAGGACCCACGTTTTGAGCCAAATCTGCTTTAGACAGCAGAACAACATTAAAGTCAAACACATGACCAATTCTGAAATTGAGCCAACTATATGTTTTGAGAAAGATAGTGGATCTCTACATTCACAGAAGGCCAAATAAGCGCTAATAAGCACTAATAAGGACCAGAGTCACCTGGGAGTCATGATGGGATGGAGGGAGAAGTTTGCAATTTTCAATTGTTTTCAATAGTTTAAAATCATACACCATTCAAGATTCTTCAAAATTCCTTAAATTTCTGAAAAAAACGCAGTCGAAATTATGCACATTCCTTCAAAATTTCAGAATTATTTAAAATTAAAAAATGACATTTCATTGAAATTCTTTCAAATTCCTGAAGATTCTTCAAATTAAAATAAAAAATTTCCAGTTCATGAAAATTCCTTAACATTCCTTATTAAAAAAAACATCGAATTCCTAGAATTCCTCAATTTTCCTTTAATGTCCTTAAAATTCCTTGGGATTCTTGGATTTCCTTATATAAATTTCCTTGAGATTCTTCAGATTTCCCTGAAATTATTTTTTTTGAAAAAAACATTATTTTTTGTGATTTTTATCGAGAGTCCTTCAAGTTGCTTTAATAATTACTGAATATTCCGCAAGATTCCTCAGAATTCCTTCAAATTCCTTAAAATTATCATTTTCCTTTCCTCCTCCTTCATTCCCTGCCATTCCTTCCTGCCTCTACAGCCTTTTCATTCCTTCTTCACCAATTCAGTTTTTCCAAAGGAATTCGAAATTTTGAAAATTGAATTTTGAGTAAGTTGAAAGAATTTTGAGAAATGTCAAAGAATACCAAATAAGCACTAATAAGCACTAATAATGATTGGGGTAACAAGGATCCTGGAAGCCAGGTAGCTGGAGGCAGAGGCTTGCCGCATTAATTGAAATTATTGGAAAAAAAAATTAATCGAAAATCATTGAAATTCCACCCCTTTGGCAAACATCTCCCTCCTTCCCATCATGACTTCCAGGCTCATGGTGCCACTACTCCTTATTGGTGCTTATTAGTGATTATTTGGCCTTATTTGGATCTAAATTGCTACTATTTTTTTATAATAATATTTCAAAATTTCTTTCAAGTTTCTGACATTTCCCTGAATTTCCTTGAAATTCCTTCAAATTCATGATTTTTTTGTCCAAATCATGAAATTTCCAGGAAATTCCATCCCTTTGGCAAGCCTCTCCCTCCCTCCCATCATGACTTCCAGGCTCATGGTGCCTCTACTCCTTATTGGTGCTTATTAGTGCTTACTTGGCCTTATTTGGATCTAAATTGCTACTATTTTTTTTCCAATAATATTTCAATTTTTTTTCAAATTTCTGACGTTTCCCTGAAATTCCTTGAAATTCCTTCAAATTCATGTTTTTTTTTTCGAATCATGGAATTTCCTTGAAATTCCATCCCTTTGGGAAACCTCTCCCTCCCTCCCATCATCCAGTCTCATGGTGCCTCTACTCCTTATTAGTGCTTATTAGTGCTTATTTGGCCTTATTTGGATCTAAATTGCTACTATTTTTTTCAATAATTTTTCATTTTTTTTTCAAATTTTTGACATTTCCCTAAAATTCCTTGAAATTCCTTCAAATTCATGTTTTTTTTTTTCGAATCATGAAATTTCCTTGAAATTTCATCCCTTTGGGAAACCTCTCCCTTCCCATCATGACTTCCAGGCTCATGGTGCCACTACTCCTTATTAGTGCTTATTAATGCTTATTTGGCCTTATTTGGATCTAAATTGCTACAATTTTTTTTCAATAATATTTTATTTTTTTTTCAAATTTCTGACGTTTCCCTGAAATTCCTGGTTTTTTCAAATCATGAAATTTCCAGGAAATTCCATCCCTTTGGCAAACCTCTTCCTCCCTCCCATCATGACTTCCAGGCTCATGGTGCCTCTACTCCTTATTGGTGCTTATTAGTGCTTACTTGGCCTTATTTGGATCTAAATTGCTACTATTTTTTTTTCAATAATATTTCAATTTTTTTTTCAAATTTCTGACGTTTCCCTGAAATTCCTTGAAATTCCTTCAAATTCATTTTTTTTTTCAAATCATGAAATTTCCTTGAAATTCCATCCCTTTGGGAAACCTCTCCCTCCCTCCCATCATCCAGTCTCATGGTGCCTCTACTCCTTATTGGTGCTTATTAGTGCTTATTTGGCCTTATTTGGATCTAAATTGCTACTATTTTTTTTTCAATAATATTTCAAAATTCTTTCAAATTTCTGACGTTTCCCTGAAATTCCTTGAAATTCCTTCAAATTCATTTTTTTTAATCATGAAATTTGCTTGAAATTTCATCCCTTTGGGAAACCTCTCCCTCCTTCCCATCATCCAGTCTCATGGTGCCTCTACTCCTTATTAGTGCTTATTAGTGCTTATTTGGCCTTATTTGGATCTAAATTGCTACTATTTTTTTCAATAATATTTCAAAATTCTTTCAAATTTCTGACGTTTCCCTAAAATTCCTTCAAATTCATGTTTTTTTTTCGAATCATGAAATTTCCTTGAAATTTCATCCCTTTGGGAAACCTCTCCCTCCCTCCCATCATCCAGTCTCATGGTGCCTCTACTCCTTATTAGTGCTTATTTGGCCTTATTTGGATCTAAATTGCTACTATTTTTTTCAATAATATTTCAATTTTTTTTTCAAATTTCTGACGTTTCCCTGAAATTCCTTGAAATTCCTTCAAATTCATTTTTTTTTTCAAATCATGAAATTTCCTTGAAATTCCATCCCTTTGGGAAACCTCTCCCTCCCTCCCATCATCCAGTCTCATGGTGCCTCTACTCCTTATTAGTGCTTATTAGTGCTTATTTGGCCTTATTTGGATCGAAATTGCTACTATTTTTTTCAATAATATTTCAAAATTCTTTCAAATTTCTGACATTTCCCTAAAATTCCTTGAAATTCCTTCAAATTCATGTTTTTTTTTTCGAATCATGAAATTTCCTTGAAATTTCATCCCTTTGGGAAACCTCTCCCTCCTTCCCATCATCCAGTCTCATGGTGCCTCTACTCCTTATTAGTGCTTATTAGTGCTTATTTGGCCTTATTTGGATCTAAATTGCTACTATTTTTTTCAATAATATTTCAAATTTTTTTCAAATTTTTGACATTTCCCTAAAATTCCTTGAAATTCCTTCAAATTCATGTTTTTTTTTTTTTCGAATCATGAAATTTCCTTGAAATTTCATCCCTTTGGGAAACCTCTCCCTCCCTCCCATCATCCAGTCTCATGGTGCCTCTACTCCTTATTAGTGCTTATTAGTGCTTATTTGGCCTTATTTGGACCCTCTGCGTCTGTACCATCCTGTCTTCGAGGATCCCTGTGCAGGATTTCGATGCCTCTTGCACTTATTAGTACTTATTAAAGCTTATTTATCGTTTTGCCCGTTTTTCCACAGGATGGCCCGAGGACTTGGACCCGACAATGGCCTTCCAGGTCCAATTCCACCTGACAACAGGTACTACCAGAGGGTACTGCAATGGGGCAATACCACGGGTCAACCAAAAAAATGAAACAAAAATATTGACAGAAAATAGCATATCCTGTAAATATTGATATTAAAATTATGTTATATATATATATATATATAAATTGAATGTTTTTTTCTTAAAATCAGAAACTTTAAAAAAAATATAACTGCAATGCTTTTAAAACATTCAGTGATTCATTCCCTAAAATCTAAACCCTAAACCCTAAACCCTAAACCTAAATAAGAGCATTTGAGATCCAAATAAGTCCAAATAAGCACTAATAAGCACCAATAAGGAGTAGAGGCACCATGAAACTGAATGATGGGAGGAAGGGAGAGGTTTGCCAAAGGGATGGAATTTCAAGGAAATTTCATGATTTGAAAAAAATGAATTTGAAGGAATTTCAAGGATTTTTGAAATATCATAAATTTAAAAGAATTTTGATCCAAATAAGGCTAAATAAGCACTAATAAGCACCAATAAGGAGTAGAGGCACCA